CCGACATATAGGGTGATGGACTCTGAGGGTGTCATTGTTGACAAGTCGAGGGGCCCGCCAGACGTCAAGGATGAGGAGGTTATCACTTGGTACAAGAATATGCTGAGCGGTAAGGAGAGAGCTTCGGCGCTAGTTCCCGAAAATACGCTCCGGCTGACCGAAAGATGAATTTACATAGTAAGCATCATGGATATGATTATGTTCGAGGCACAGAGACAGGGTCGTCTCAGTTTCTATATGGTAAGTCGTGGTTGCCTAATTGAAGGCGCGTTGGCATATCGGCTTACAGTTTGCATCTAGGTCTCTGCGGGAGAAGAAGGTATCGCTGTTGGCTCGGCAGCTGCGCTATCTATGAAAGACGTCATTTTCTGCCAGTACAGAGAAACTGGTGTCTTCCAGCAGCGTGGGTTCACCTTGAAGCAGTTTATGAGCCAGCTTTTTTCCAATCGCAATGACTCCGGGAAGGGTCGTAACATGCCTGTCCACTACGGAGGCAAGGATGTGAACACCGTAAGTAAAACAATACCATCTGCTTTATGCTCATTCTGACGCCTCGCTTCTAGCATACTATCTCATCAACCCTCGCAACTCAAATACCTCATGCCTCTGGTGCTGCTTACGCACTTAAGATGAAGGCTCTGCAAGATCCTAATGCCGAGAAACAAGTAGTTGCCTGTTACTTTGGTGAGGGAGCAGCCAGTGAAGGAGACTTCCACGCTGCTCTCAATATTGCTGCCACCCGCTCCTGTCCTGTAATCTTCATCTGCCGGAACAACGGCTACGCCATCTCTACTCCAACCCTAGAGCAATACCGAGGAGACGGAATTGCAAGCCGTGGTATCGGTTATGGAATTGACACTATCCGTGTTGATGGAAACGACATCTTTGCGGTCCGTGAAGCCACCCTTGAAGCTAAGAAGCGAGCTCTTGAGGGTTCAATGCGTCCAGTTCTTATTGAAGCCATGAGCTACCGTATCTCTCACCACAGTACTAGTGATGACAGCTTTGCCTACCGTGCCCGTGTCGAGGTTGAGGATTGGAAGCGCCGTGATAACCCCATCTCTCGTCTCCGCAAGTGGATGGAGAACAAGGGCATTTGGAACGAAGACCTGGAGCGCGAGACCCGTGAACAGCTCCGTAAGGATGTCCTTGCAGAATTCGCTGCCGCCGAGAGAGAGAAGAAGCCTGCACTGAAGGAAATGTTCACCGACGTCTTTGCAGAGCTTACCCCTGAAGTAAAGAAACAGAGAGAGGAGCTGAAGCGCATCCTTGAGAAATATCCCAAGGAGTACGACCTGACTGAGTTCGAGGGTGGCCTAAAGGGGTTGTAAATGAGACAACCTCTGCTCCAAACCACCCATCATTCCCTCTGTTTGCCATTTCCCCTCCCCTTGGACATTTTGGAATGATGTCCGATATACCATATGGCTCATTTTTTCATCACTCTGCAACAGACAGTCTTATTTATACGCGGAATAAATATAGCGTTGTTTTGGCGTTTCATTCCCTTAAGGAGCCTACTGGTTGACTGGCTTGGTTTTTTCTCTTTTTTTTTCCCCCCCTCCATTCTGTCCTTTGCCTTGAAGAGCACACCAAAATGTACATACCATAGATCAAGATTCTCTCTTTGGAGCAGAGAGTACTAGATATAGAAATACACGCTTTCAAATATGGCACAATCTATTGATTGCAAAGTTCGCTATTTTCAATTGCCAAGAGGCTTCTCTCAAACCCAGACCTAAAGACCATACAAAAGCGAAAGGGAGACATTAGATAACGCTACAGAGAAGACAAAAAAAACATGAATGATAGTAACAATAGCAATTCAAACAGACTCCATATAATGCAGAAGGGGGATAGCAGGTTAAAAGTGCGCATTGACTCGCAACGACGCAAGAAAAACCATAGAGAATGGAACAAGCGAGTCCAATTAAGACTTCTTGTGAGTGGTCAACGCAATATTGGGCAAAATCACTTCATCGTAAATTACTGTGACTGGGCCATTGACTCTGCTGCAGCTGCTAAAGCCTGCTGAACAAGCTTCTTGTTTCTCTTAACTAGAGCCATAACTTTCTTGTCGATAGCATCAACTTCCCGCCTCGATACATCCAGCTCAGTTTGAGAAGCGTTAATCATAGCTCGTAGTTCAACATCAGGCATGTTCATTAGCTCTTCAAGGCCAGGGCCAAAGTTAGGACAACGTCCACCCATCAACTTTGATGCAGACGAACGAATAGGGACGGTTTCGCCGCCACTACTAATAGCCCAATTATGAGAACGCACCATCTCAGGCTCGGATGTGGATGTGTTTACCCCATTGTTTGCATGCGACGAGTGGGACAGGATCGCAGATGAGCCTTCGGCGGTGATGCTGGACACGAGACCGTTTCGAGTTGAGTCCTCGTCAACCCAGCAAATATTGAACTTCTCAGGGGTAGCGAAGAGGGCATCCAACCCACCTCCGCGGTTTGTGATATCAGGCTCAGAGATGAGAAGGGAGGGGTAAGAATCCTGAATAACGTCTAGAACAGACGAGAGGCTCTTCTCCAATGCTAGATACCGGTCTTCTTCTTCGGCGGAGAGATGACGGAGAATACAGCCGGTAGGTGTTATGAGGGCACGATGCTTGAGTTTATCAGGATCACCGTTGTTGATACGTACAGGTTCACCACGAAGGAGCTGTTTCCGGTGCTCTTCTGTCAGCTCAAGTGGATTGTGCAGCATGTCGTAGTCGTCGGCATTGCATTTCATATCTGTGCGCTGGCCGAGATTTGGTGGGTTGAAAAGTAAGTGTGTGTTCAAATCAAAAGCTCCAAGTTGTTGAAGCTGCCCAAGGAGCGTGGGAAGAGGTGCCGTACGCTCAAGAAAGAGATCTTTGACCGGTACACCTTTCGACTCGGCATCCATTGTCATTTGCTGGAGGGTGTTATTCTCCCGCCATGGTTCGCTTTCTACTGGATCTTTCGTTTCTTGTTTCTTCAGCTCCTCCTGATTTGACTTAGATGATGGTGTTTCGGGTTCCGTTTGAGACTTCACTGCATCATTGCTTGATGATTCTTTCTGTTCTCCGTCGGATGCGTTGGCATCAACATCACCATTGGGCTGCTTTGGTGCCTTCTTCGTCTTGCGTTTACGACCGATGATCGGGGCTTGAGTCTCGCTGTTGGCTGCTGCAGTGGCTAGCAGGATTTCATCTTTTTTGGCCTCCGCGTTTTTGGCCTTCAATTTCCTGTCCTTCTTCACTTGACTCTTTGTAACCGTTCGAACAGGCGCAGATCCAATTCTAGATGGTGGTGGCGAATTCGCTCGAGAAACTGAGGCGGACGTTTGGGCATCATACTCAGAGCCGACTGGTGTCGTTGGTCTGCTGACAGAAGAGAGATTATGTATTCCTGGTCGTTGTTTCACACCCCATACAGATGTGCTTGTTGATGTTGTAGGTGGCGTTTGCTCTGACTTCGGCGTATCAACGACTCGTAAAACCCTTGGCTGGCGAGGAGCTGGAGAGTTTGAAGTACGAGAGTTGGTCCCTGGAGTATCTGGTCTAGACTCTGGACCAGTTGAAGAAGTAGCCAGCGGTGCGACACTCTGAACGGGAGTCGAATTGGAGACAGGTTCGCGAATCTTCTCAAATGTCGAAAGATCAAGTTTTAAGGGTTTTGATTTCCCGTGGCTGGATGATTGGTGTGTTTTTGATGAAGTGTCACTTAATGAAGTGGTTCTGGCAGTGCTGCTAGCCTTGGGCTTGGGAGACCCGAGGGATACTTCGGCAGCTCTACTAACTGACTGTTTCAAGGGAGTAGCTGGAGAATCTCGTGCTGATTCGGGTGCAGCATTCGACTCTGTAAATGCTTGAGGATGCACTAGCCCTGGGGGTGGATTTATGGTCAAAGGAGTCTTTGGGAGTGAAGGGCTTGACGTTCTGGATTCACGAACGAGCGATGTAGGTGGATGCGCATGGGGTAAGCCGAATCCAGGCGGCACAGCGGGAGTTCCAGACCGGCTTGAGGTCAGCGATGATTCCCCCGGAAGAGAATTCCTAATTGGCAGACGAATTGGGTCCGTAGGGTGTTTGTCGTAATTTGGCTTAGATGCTGGAGCCAACGGTGGGAAGTCTTCGTCTTCTAATATCAAAATGTTAGCATATAAAACTGAAAGATTTCTGTCCTGGCTAATGAAGGTGGCGTAAGCTGTGATGGCAAGGAAGGGAGCGTAGTAGGGGAGGTAAGTGCAGCTACATGGGTAGCCCAGGGGCTTCCTTTGTTTCTATATACATATTGGCTGCAGTCGGCGCTACAAGATCAGGGCAGAGGATACTTCGAATCACACATAACAAGTTGGAGACATCTATATGGGCAAAATAACAGTGAGAAATTTTGTTTCGACATAGTAAGACTGGGCTTGGGTACAAGCCCAAAAGAACAGGGAGGATTAACATACAAAAAGATTTCCTCTCAAAGGAAAGTGTGTTTTTGGGTATAGTCCGAAGAAACGTAGGTTGGCGCGAAAGGAAACCTGAACCCCCAGCCATAGATATGGCAGGCAATATGAAAACGTTTTCCCAATATCGCGAAAAAGCCCTTCGAAAAGCATATTCCTGGATAAATGTAATGTGTATGACGCCTCCCGCCAGCCAAGTTCATCAAGAAATATCGCGAACATGCGATGTGAACGCCCAGTTGCACGCGTTTCAACGAATGTTCCCCGTATGCAGTGCTGAAATAAATGCCAAAATAAAAAAAAAAAAAAAAAAAAATGAAGAAGGAAAATTAAACAGCAGCCTCTGTACTCCTAGCGGGTGGTGGGTAAACGAAGGGGAATGAAAAGGGAGAAACCATGTAAAACATAAACGCTTAGGCAAGGACATTGGAAGAATATGAAATCTCATACAATGGGAAAGATATAGAAAATGTGGTTCACAGGAAGGGAGATGCTTAAGGGGGTAGAAAAGGCTTGGGATTGATTTGGGGGAGCCACACAGTTTGGAGAAGGGTTGTCTTTTACCACCTTCCAAACCCTCCACTGTACACCATATTGGAATGGTTGTACCCACCTTGACCCTGACTCCCGTACAGCCCCTGCCCAGCGGCAGCATTGGCGCCACCTTGGTGCATCCTCGCCTGCAAAATACTCGGGTCTGCAAGATCTACTACACCGCCTCCGCCGGAGGAAGTGTTAGCATGTCTATGCTTCTTTCCCCTCTTTTTCTGCTTCTGTGGCACTTGATCTTGATATAGACCAAGCTGCTGGCCATAGAGCGGGTTCAAAAGGCCTGAAACGGGAGCCAGAGGAGGGGGTGTGCTATTTTGTTGGAGTAAAGGAAACAGGAACTCACGCTTTGTTGCATCATGGGACTGGACATTCCCGCCTGCAGTGCCCCTGGCACGAATAATTTCACGCATCAAATCAGCATTTCCATCTTGTTTGGTACCGAGCCCAAGGTTATTGTTCATCGTGCTGGTGAAACCATGGCCCTGGGCAAACATGCCGCCACCACTAACTGGAGGAGTACCGGCACTCTTCAATCCTGGTGGCGGGCCTTGAATACCGCTAACAAAGTATTGATTGCCAAGATTGTGTTGTGTAGTAGGGATTGAAAGAGGATTGGGGCTGGATGATTGCATCATAGGACCCTGAGAACCAACAAGTCTGCCACTGGGGTTTTTGGAATTAACATCATAGGCAAATGAAAACCGCGAAGACTGCCTTGTATGACCGGGTATATTATTCAATCCAGCCATCTGGTTCTGGAAGGTTCGGGCATTTTGATCAAAGGTGCCAGACGCGGTATTGGCTTGGAGATCCATAATGTTATGCTGCTGGCCCCCAGCAGACTTGAGTAGCATGAGTTGCTGCTGTTGAAGCTGGGAAAGATTTCGGGCATTGACATTGATGTTTTGGAACTGATGGCTGTTTGGAACCGGGGACCCCACAACCGAGTTGTTGTCCGTTGCCTGTTGAGAAGGAGGCTGGATAGCAGATTGTGGTTCTCTTTGATGTCGCCCGGGAACACCAACGCCACCATGGACATCCTCTGGTTCACCACCTAGCTGTGAACTCCCGCTTTCAAGGTTCTCTTCTTCGGCTGGGACTTGAAGTTTCCCATCGAGGGCATGTTTTGCTCGCTCTTGCTCAGCTTTCTCACGCATGGCCCGGCGTTTGACGCCTCCGTACGGGTCTATTAGGGACGGATGGTTCTCGATAAATACCAACTCGTTGTCTGGGACAGCTTCAGTTGAGAAGTGAAATCGAAACTCCGGTGAATTGACAGCTTTTACTAGCTTATCGAAAATCATGGTGGGAGACGGAGATTCTGGTCGGCGTGCTGTATTCGACTGTTCACTGGGACCAGCCGAGTCCGAGGTAGTGTTCAGTTGTTCCGCTGTTCGTTGAGAATCTTTTCCATAGCCGTTTACGGGTCGAGAAGCCAATTGTTCGTTCGTCGGCTTAGGGCTAGGAGATGATCGACTCGCCGCTATACTCTCCCTCCTAGTTCTCTGAGCCAAGGAATCTCTATTCGCCCAGCTTGCAGACGAAGGAAGAGCGGATGAATCCGTACTCGAAGAGCGCACTCCGCCGTCGTCCTTGACAGCGGGCCACTGGGTATTTGGAGCATTAACGGCCCTAGCATGGCTAATCGCAGGGGATGGACGCTGGGTGGGTTGGTTTGGAGCTTGTGAGATCGCGGAGGACGATCCGTTCGATGGGTATCTTTGCGAAGAAATTGAATTCATGGATAAAAGGTCTTGTCGACTAAAACTGTCACTATCATTCCCAGTTTCGTGAAGAAACGTGCAATTTCTGTTATTGCACGGTTCATTGCGGAGAAAGGAGGAACAGTATTTGGTAGTGCCATATTGCGCTCTATCAATAAATGTTAGTAAAACAAATGATCAAAAAGACAGGGGGCATGTACATACCGTAAAACCCTGTCACCGTTAGGTGAGCCATCAACTGCCGCAATACATGTAGCCGCATCTATCTTCCTCGCAAAGGTCACGTAGACACCGATACCTTGGTTTGGGTTGCCACCCGGCTTCGCCTTGCTGAGAACTATTTTGTCAATATCGCCATACTGGCCAAAATATTGGTCACCCCGGAGCGTTTGTAATAGTAAATTTTCGTCCCGGATTGTAGGATTGAGCCCGATAACATAGACGAGGTTCTTCTGAACCACCCGGACACCAGCCAAGTTTTTCCTACTTGAGGCTTCGATTTCTCGTTTTTCAGCCTCCTTTCGTTTGGCGGCAGCGGCTTTTCGATGTTTTAGGGCCAAGTCTGCTTTGAACCTATATGTAATAAACCCCTGTCAGTAAAGAGTGAATTATGAGGCTAAGAATAGGAATAAACCACGCACTCATCAACATCTGGGACACGGTATTGAATGCTGCTTTCGTCATAAACGCGTCTGCAATTTGGGCAACGGCCTTCTTCACTATGGGTCTTGATATTGTTATAGCAAAATTGGCATATCTAGCAGTGATTCGTTAGCGGTTAATCTTCTGCTAGAGTTTTTGGCGTTTCACTAGAGGCAGGGAGGGGCTATATTTTTTTTGTCTTCATATATCAACGCGTACCTGGTAGCCACAAGGGCATGGCTTGAAGTTTTTATCAGAGAGATCAAACTCTTCAATACAGAGCGGGCTGTGGATGACAGGATTTCAAGATTAGCAACTGCAGTACAAGTGGCCAACTGTACCGTGATATGAAGCAGACTCACCAGAGCTCGTCATCGTCGTCAATGACTGAGTCGTTTAGGGCTCTTGAAGACATGTTGTGAGAGCTGCTCGCACTGGCTCAGAGACTGTTGGAATATGGGGCGGGAAAAAAAAAACTGAGGTTTCGAATAGGAAAGGGACCATGAACAAGCACGGGATTAAATTTGGACAAGATAACCAGCTGGAGCCCCCCCGAAGACAAATGCAAAGAAATGAAAACCTGCCGTGAGAAACGGAGAGACACCAAGGAGAGAGGAAAGATGGCGGGAGAAGGAAGACGTCGACGTCGAGATGGGATGCGCTGCGAAAAACGAGGAGGGAGTGCAAGATGAGCTTTCTGCGCAGTGTCTTGGCGTCTTCTTCGTCTTCTTCCTTTTTCGGGGGGAGGCGCCAGCTTAGTCAGGTTTTTATCACGTTATGTCATGTGATGTTACACGTGATTTAATGCATCACATGATCTGGCCAATCAGCGACTTGCATTTGCGACCAGAGAAGAACGTCGGGCCAGCAACGTCCTCTCGAGATATCCAAGACACCTCGTTCCTCCGCGACACACAATTCCATCGGGCTGCAGCTCAATTGCTCTCACAACGATGGCGTCCAGGCGATCTGTTTTGCGGCTGGGAGGCCGCCGCCCATTGACCTCCGTCCAGACGGGCAGAACCTCCAATTCGCTGCGTCTTTTCTCCGTGTCTGCACAATTCCAGGATGCGAAGTTTGTATCGAAGGAGGGAGTCCCTAACCCGCGCGAGGAGCCGCGACCTGGTAAACCGGACCCTGTTATCTTGTTTTGATTTTGGATCTCT